CTAAACTTTTATGTCTTTATTTGTAACTATTACGTTTATACTCGTATATTAATTAACACTACTGCCTGCTTATATTTTAGTTCAGGCCTGCCCAATCTACGGCCCATCAAGCATTTTTGTGCGCTTGAGAGCAATAATCATATTTCTTGAAAGAGTTATTTTCAATCCTTAACTCCTTTTTAAGTAAAATAAATATGAATTTATACTGTAAATCTCCTAGTCAGCTATTGACTCCGAGTCAATAGCTGACTTTTTTTGTCCAATTTCAAACAGAATTTCGTAATAGTTCTTTATTAGCAAGTACTGTGCCTCGATCAGAAGCTCACAGTAACTTTCAATCACACTAAACACAAAAAAGAACAAGACATTCCAATAAATCATGATCACATTTTTTCTGAGCCTTTAGTGAAAACAAAATGTTGCCGAACTATGTTCATTAAATCTTGATATAAACCAGGCTTCAGTATGTCAACCTATATGGTTTTTATCTCTCTCAGAAGAAGATTTCAGTAACGTCCTTTCTGAATCATTTTGTTATTACGTTGATAAGTTATCATTTCTGTGAGAAAAGTAGTCCGAGTAACGTTGCAACATGCGGTACTGAATAGACAGGAAAAATTTAAAAAAGATGCACGTGATATTACAAGACGCGTATTCAACATAAAGTATTGTTCAATAATAAGGTAACCAGAATAGATCTAATCGATGGAATGTGCAGTACGGGCTACATGTTTCTCTAAAATATTTTCCCTATAATAATCCTGGATTCAAAATCATGACAGTATTGAATTACCTGATCATGAGAACAAGTGTTGTAAACTTTAGTTTGAAGCGCAATAATTATCCACTTGAAAGTATAAATATTAAAACATCATTTAGAGGTACAATAGTTCCATATGTACTCACTTCAAATATACGATGACAGTTTGCATGCCAAATATAACCATAAATAAAATAAATCTCTAATTTTTACAGTTTAAAAAATTGTATCGATATTTGATTACTTTCGCTTGTATTTTCATTCATTCATTATACTATAAAACTTGAAATAAAGCAGGATTAAAATGTCTATGACGTGTAAATATAATAAGTAGTTGACCGAGCGTACGTATAACAATTATCTACGGCATTTAAAACCTTTATTTTACTGCTTAATTAGTTTTCATATTTTAGTGAAACTAATTTTACATAAATTAGTGCTACATAAATCTTTACATAAATTAGTTTACATAAATTATACCACAGATACTTATTTTACATAAAAGTACATATATATAAACCAGGCAATATACTTTTAAAACCATTTCTTTCGCAAGCCATAGGTTTCACAATCTTAAGTCACTGTCTGTATGGTTCTACTTTTAAATTTAATTATATGTTTAAATTTAAATTGTATGTTCGCTTTTGCTTTCGGTATTACACCTCTTACCAAAACAGTATGAATGTCAAATGAGCATAAAAGACCAATGTGCGATTGAAAGTATGTAGCGGCTCCTGAGAAACTGGACTACATTTATTACTTCCATCTTTCTTAGCATTAATCTTCATGACCGGCTAGTTGGTTGCGGTTAACCTTATAAGGTATTTCTCCCGCCTTCTTAGCATGTCTTCGTGGTGTAACTGGAAACATAATGGACGCGTATTCGAGAGGTCCGTGGTTCGATTCCCGGCAAGGGCATTACTCATTTTTCACGTCTCCTGCTTCGAAGTGACCTAATGTCTCTACATCCTCAACATAAATAAGCCAGTTAAGCATATTCCTCAGCTTTTATTGGTATATATATAAGTAATATTTGTAACTGCGAGACGTTCAGTACCAATTAAGTTTTATCCAGCATTTTCTTAGGCGATCAGTAAGTCGACCTTTCATATAAGTTTAGTGTAACAATAATTCAAAGCAAGGTACGTATTAAAGTATATTATTGCCACTTGTGAAGAACACTTAGTTGACTCCTCTCTTTGAAACGTAGTCCTTTGTTAAAACTAAACTCTTCGGTGATTACCAGTATTCCAAGACCGATGAACACTGGTAGTTAGTCGGAGCTCAATTCTGGTGAATCGAGTATAGGCATTTCCCTCCATGTGGGACATGAAAACGAGCCAGTTGTCCTTAAAACTCCTCTACAGAGATTTTTCTCTTTTGGTAGAAAGCTATCGCATGTTTTGCTTTAATTAAAAACCAATCACCAATCGGATCGGATTTAATCTTTCTAAAAATTATAATTGTGATTAGTTTTAATATTACGTACTTAGCTGTTGAATCATCAACAAACATTTAACTACTTTTATACTTATTTATGTAGTCATTTGCTTAAATGTGAAGCTATTTGACACCCTCACCTGATGAGATTAGGTAATTTGAATATGACGAAGTACATGACAGCTATATTCCGAAACAAAAGGGATGCCTTTATGTATGATTTTCAAAGAAAAAGTCGTTTTTTCAGGTTACAAGTGGGAAAATCCACGAAAAACAAATATGCAATCAACCCATTTGTCTGGAATCGAACTCTTAATATTCAGTCTTAACTACTCGGCACTTAGTGAAATTCTCACTTGACACAGTGGGAGATTAATTGCAGAAGCAATATAGTTAAGAAATAAGATTTAGAGCTACATCTCGTGTGCTTTCTAATTTTGAGTGTAAGTAAATCCAGAATGTGTAATTCTATTTTATTGCGATTTCAACTTACATTTCTATGATAGAAAGATATTACTGCTTTTTTCTGCATCTACTAAAATTAAGTAAACAAAATATTTATGCACACATGCATTGTAATTATGCGACTCATATATGATTGAAAGGCTGAGTGAAGTTTAATTGCAATTCTAGTTAAATTTATGCAATTATTCTTATGTTACATACAACTAATATTTTGGAATTTATTTAAAAGAATTCCTTTCTTGAGATTAGCAGAGGATATCAGAAGGTTAATGAATAGATTTATGTGATTATATTGCAGAAGTATCTAGAACTAAATAGTTACTAGAAGTACCTAAATTGGAATTTAATCTTTTCAAACTCCAATTTCAATTACATGAAAGATTAAGACATAAAATTGAATTACGTTTCTGAAATGTCTTCCGTGAATCAAAGCGCAAGCAAAATTTGCATTGAAATGAGACTTGCATACATTTTAAAACTGTTATGCTAATTCTATATATCAAGAGGCTCTGATTAAGAAGGACATTACAGAAACTTCAAAATAGTGTTTATTATATTACTTAATGAACACAAAAATCTTACTAACAGACTGCCCGAAAATAAAAAAGAGTAATTAAAACACAGAATATTCCCAGTGTACAACAGAATATACAATAAAAAAGAGATATAATGCGTGCAGCATTTGTCAACGTCTGCCTGGGGCACTTAAAAACTTTTTTTTATCTTTTCTAGTCGTTGGATGATAAAAGGAAAGTCCTCTTCATTTCTCAACCTAAGTCGTTAAAGTCTTAACTTGTGGTAAAAAAAAAAAAAATCTAATTCATGCTGTTTAATGATGTTCTTCACGCAACTGAATCAGAGAAGGGAAATTAATTGTGTATCTGAAAATAAACGCAATTATTGCCATTATATGTACATTCATCAAAACAGACTTCATTTATATTTCAGAGGGATTCCTTGTCGTTTTCATACTGTTACAAAATTTATCGACTAAGAAATTTCATTACAGTTCTTTCTTTAGCCGTTCAAACCACTTTCTGGTTCTAGTTCTATTAGTGTTCATTTTCTGGTTCCAAGCTTTGTAAATAGAGATGATGGTTTATATGTGAATTGTGTGCATCTTATATAAGTGCTTTTATGAGTCTACAGAATTATTTTTAAAAAATGCTGTAGTTTTGCAATATCAGGTACTAGTCAGATGTTGTTTTACCCCATATATTCTGGTCTAAAGCATATTTTTAAAAAATTGCACTAATTTCTTATATGCATTTATGGTTCAAACTTAAAAATGAATCAGAAAATGTAGACCTTTTAACTATGCGCATAGGGCGTCATATGAAAATATATACGAAGCTATGCTATTTAACCCTTTGAAGGGCAAAACACCCGAGATAGCCATTTATTCAAACAACCACAACCGCTCAAAACGGCCGACATTGCGATGTTGTTTCCTTTCCTCCCGCTAAGGTATGCAGTAGCCGTTGCAGTTTCCCCAAATGCATTGTATCAGTTTATTTCAGAATTGCTTCCCTAAAAGGCTAAAGGAAGTTTCTTTGTTAGGAAGTAGAAAGGGTGCCATTTGAAATCTTCTCAGCTCTTTGTGCGTTAATGAACGGAGAGGGAAGCAAACGGACCGGACGGGTCATTGACGATACGGGCGTTTCGGTATTTTAAGCATACATGTTAGCGAAGGTTTCTGTTTTCTAAGGGCCACGCCTGATTACACACACACACACACAAAACTCCTTCACGTAAGATGGATTTGATTTTATAACGATGGATTTTATGCATGTTAAACCCTCAGAAACAAATGTTTAAAATATTTAACGTCAGGAAACTAACGCGCAAAGGACATCTGTTTATAAAAACTGTTTTAAATTACCCATTCATAAAAATGCTGAGATTCCCAGTTTAATAGGCAGTACACGGAAGTCTCGTAGTGTACACATCAAATTTCTCTTATTATTTACAGCCTGTCCATTTCAAAGACGCGACGCCTCAGATGTGGAATTTGGAAATGATTCACAGATTCTGAAAAGGTATGAATGAAAAGTATTGGTTCAATTAAATAATTTAAAATTCGAACCATTGATAAAATTTAGGGGGGAGGTTACAATTAACAACAAACTTCAATAGGCTAACTGAAATTTAACAACTGAAAACTGCTTATCCTTAGCCAGAAAGTATTGGATAAAAAGAAGAGTTTAATACATCGATCATCATAAATGTCGGAACACGAATGAGAAATTAAAGCGATTGTCTATAAAAATTTTATTTTTACCAAGCCGGATGGTCTTTACGTTGTATTAAATTGAAACGTCAGGTATATACTTACTTAGAAAAATAGAAAGTTGCCTTCTCATGAGGCTTTCCGCTGTAAAGATTGACAAATGCTTCTTTGTAAATAGATTCCCAGATTGCATCCCATGTGGATGTGTGGGTGGATAAATCAATTTGTGAGGCGACACATTGCGTTCAATGTTCCTCTGAAACGAACAAACAAACAAAATAAATAAATAAGCAGTTTTATTAAAGGTTAATTTAGCATTCTAACATTTTTATAGTTAAATACCAAAAACCTACCTCTTTCTATTGATACTGTTTCTGGTTATTACAGAAAAATATAATAATTTCATTTATTGTGAATGCAAAACATTTTTATAATGACCGTTTTTAAATCACAGCTTTTATGTTTCAAAACTATACTTCATCAACGTAACATTAAACGTATTTGGAATAACGTGCCAGTTAACAGATAGGGAATTGATTATCAGCATACTTTCCAAGAAATTATCTTAGGAGGCCATATTTTAGTTTTGATTTCAGCTAGACGCTTTTCCTCTTTGAAATTTAATATATTGAATATACGTTTCTTTGAGCAATAATCTGGATTTATGCTCAGGTTTATAATTTGTTGATGTGAAGATTTTTCCTCGGAAAGTGCATTTACACAACCGTCGGACCATTCGTCAATTTGTGGAGCCGTTTCTGAAATAAATCTTTTATTCCGCATACCAATCAAAATAAAAAAATTAGTGGACAATTAACGTTGAAAATACCAAATTTTTTTCTCAAAAAATGCTCACGTGGAGATTTAAATAGAAAATCGTTTCCATAAAATAGCGCGAATTTTCCAGAAATTATTTTATATGCTATAGTACATTTTTTTAAATTTAATTTCTAAAAATTCACTCAAATTTATTTACAGACTTTGGTCGAAATTTGCCATTATCTCAAATTCAGTGAAATATATTGCTCGTAGGTTTACTTGAATTACCACTTACTTTCCCATTCTCTTTTTTTCTTTTTTTTCCAAATGTATCTTAATGCATTACTCACGCTTATGCAAATTAATCTTATAAAATGAAGAAGAAAAAAAAGAGAGAAGCGATTTCAAACATATCCATCAAAAACGTCTTCTGTTGTCTCCCTGTCTTTTAAGAAGTATTTGCTAAGACTTCATCGATCTTTTTAAAATACCATGTCCAGGAGATGTTCTTGTTAAATTTCCAACTAGTCTCTTATTAACAGTCAATCTTTGGTTTGCGTTTGCATTTTTATAAGGCAAATAAAATACTGCTAGATACTTTGATCCCATTACTGATTTTTGCCTTCCTTGTTAAGATTTGATGCAGAACACTGGTAACTTTAATTTAATGTACTGAATTATTTAACGACAGCGTATTCAAGTAACGACCCGATTTCTTGTTTAAAGGAAACTTTTGACTTGAACATTTAGTTCTGGATTTCTTCTAACTTTTCCAAAAGCCTCTACAAAAGCTGCGCAATTCTTCTTTAACGCAGTTATTCTGAATAGGAAACTAGTTCGATACTTTTTCACGTTGTCGTATATGCGTTGAATGATAATGGAAGTGAAGCAAGGAAAAAAAAAAAAAAAACTTCATTTGTTGTAATGTATAAAATTAGACGTACGGAGTTAATTTCCAATTCCGTGAAATATACTCTCCTAATTACTTTTCTGTTAATACAAATGGGAAAGATATATCTATTTTTCTGGAAAAAATGAAGTTCGAGCAAAATTACATTTAATGTATGAGTGGTCTTTGTAATGGTTTCAGCTTAATAAAGTAGCGTTGTGGATGATAAAAGCAGAACAGACACTCAGCGTTTCTGATCTAGAAATATTTCAATTTATAATTCTGATATACTAACAATAATTATGATATGCAATATAATTTCTGGTTACATGAACTTTAATGTTTATTAACTCCAAAAATTAACCAAAATGCGCTTTTGTTTTCATTCTATAAATTAATCATACTGGTAGCCGCCCAACCGGTATAGTGGTTAGCGTCGCTGACTGCCGTGCCGAAGGGCTCGAGTTCGAATCCGGAGGACGCATGGATGCTTGTAAATATATAGTTTCGGTGTGGCATGGTGGCTCTTTAAACATGCGTCGAGCTGAAAATCCTCTCATGTAATTTTGTGGAAGTAATTTGATTTTGATGGAGAGCACCCCGGGAGGGGGGACGGGGTGCTCTTCATCAAAATTGGGGGCGGAACTGAGCTAAATCGCATTGTCACCTGAATAGTGTTCAAGGCTGTTGACAACAGCAGGCGTAATCTAGAGCTCCTTGCCACGAGGAATTTCGTGGGCTTGGGCTGACTGCGTCAGACAAGTGAGTAACAACAACAACATAAGTAACAACAACAATTATATCGATGCATGATTTATCCGTTCTTTAGAAATAGTTAGACTTGAGAAAGGGTTGTTTAAAATATATATATGTATGTAGCAAATTTTACTGCTGTGGAAAATTCACGTTACAATTTAGGAAAATTTAATATTGGAAATTAAATATTTTAAAAGCATCAAATAAATTTTCTACCAGCAGTAACTGAATATGCATACCTTTTTAAAGGTATTAAAACTAATTTCGAACAGATCACATTTTGTAATTAATTCGGTTATTTTACAGATATAACAATTCATGTCGCTCTTGCAATGTATTCATGACAGTATTTCTCAAAGCATACAAAATTCAGTCTATTTTACGATGTGCTCAATAGTTTTCTTTCAGTTAGCGAAATCAAACGCCTTTTTCCTAGTTTGCATTCTTTAGGAGTTACTGCCACTTGATTTTAATAGGATTAATCTAAAAGCTGAAAAAAACGTGGTCTTTAGAAAATTAAAAAATATATATATTCAAATTCGAGTAAAAAGTAAACCGGTATTTTGAAGACAGGAATTAGTAAATGTTTATGCTCAACCTATACGCACTGATGTGAAAATAATAAAACAGATCAAAAGAGATATATGTATCACGTTGCAGCTATCCGTTATAGATAATATTACGCATTAAAGCTTAACTTGCGTCTTGAACGCTGATTGTTGCAGAATGTGTCTTATATGTTATTTTGCCTGTGGCGACAGTTCTAAAAGGAGCATCTCCAGGATAATAAATTGTAGAAGTATAATTATTTGGAAGTTTAGTTGCAAATATTTAAAATTCTTATAATATAATTTAGGAAAACTTAATTATTGTTTAACAAACGTAATACGATTTTTTGTTGTACATTAAGAAGTTAATTCAAATTCAAAATCACTGTTTGTAAATTACCGGGATTATGGCTTAGCCATTATTGATGCACAACGTAGAATTCTTTAAACAAATTTTAGTTTTGAAGTTATTTTAACGATGTTCATTCAAATTTTGCATTCAGGTTTCAAGTCAAACATATGGTGCTTTAATATAAAACGTGTGAGTTTTATTATTATCACGTTATTGTGGAAATGGATATTTAGGAATTCAACCAGTGTCAAGAGTTAGTTGCTTGCATCTAATTCTAATAACAACTACCAATACAAACTGAGAATGCAGACTGTGAAACCCTAAAAAAAGCCATATATTTGTAGATTCCCTAGGAATATGAAACTGTGGCATGCAATTATTTGCTTCAATATATTGCAGTTTTAAAATTTTCTTCATAAATAAATGTATTCAAAACTTCTGGAGTTTCGTTTCGCAATCAGAAGTTTCACAAATTCTTAAGCATTAAGAAATTTTCATGTCAGTAATGCGTTTCATGTCAATAAGCGATTTTCGATGGATGGAGAAGTAATGTCATTCGAATTTCTCTTCTTTACGACTTTTTTTTTTTTTTTTTTTTTGTAGCAACATGTTTCTAAATACCATACATGATTTGAAAGGGGCTCATTCTGATTCCTGCCGATTGCAGGAAGTGATGATTCACGAAACAGAAGTAATGCACCTTGTAGAAAATCTTTCTCTAAGATGCAATAGAAAAGTACTAATGCCAGTACTTATTAAAAACTCATTAACAGCATAGTCAGAAAACTAGATTACGAGCTATTTATTTAAAAGTTCATATTTATCCCTATTACACTTTTTTCGCATGTCAATTCAAATAATACAATTAAAGTAAATAGGTTTTAGATGATAGATGTCAGGAATTTGGATTTTTCATTTATATTCCCAAAAGAAATCAGTAAGTTAACTAAAAAGACAAATAACTTAGCATATTATTTACAGATTTTTAATAATACATAAAAATTATATTTAAATAATAGCAGTTTTCTGACTGTTAATATTTTCTATAGATCAAATTAATGTTCATTCAATAGTAATTTGCATTAATTACTATTTTTAGTAAGCGTGAATTCAAGGAATATTCGAGGAATACACATGTATTTTTAACAGGACAAATAATGTTTTTATTTTATACCAAACCGCATTTTGATGACCGTATGTCACTGTGAAGGGGCAGCAGAGATCGAGAAATCGCTGAACACTGGTAGTTCCGACTTGGGGTTCAATTTCAGATGAACGGAGTGGCCCCATGCGCGTTTTCGTGATTTTCCCCCATATGTAATATCTTTACGAGCCAGCTTCCCTTAAAAGTTCTCCAGAAAAGCATCCCTTCCCTTAGGCTGATAGCCCGAGTGGTCTTTGCCATAATCAAATAAACCAGACCAAACCAAACCAACCCCACTGTAGAAACATAGAGAGGAAAGTTTCCAATTTTCGTTCTGTAACAAACAGTTCATAGGTAAAGTCTCAGACAATCGTCAAAGATTCGTAACTACCTATTACGGACTGTGGGAGTTTGCCTATACTTGAGCTTGGTGTGTCACTTCGACAGCCTCTAAAGTCAAAAGGGAAAGATCATTAACTGACAGCGACAGAGTGTGTGGATAGAGTAAGAAGAAAGAGGACACGTTGCCGCTGCCCTGAAGAATTTCGTCATTTCTTTTTTGTGAGACTTTTCCTTTTGTGAAATTTGATAAATTCAGTAAATTTATTGTTTTTTTTTTTTTTTTTTTTTTTTTTTTTTTTTTTTTGGAAGTGAGTCTTACACTGACTGAAAATTACGTACTACAGTCGTCATAACTTGCCTGTATCTGGATCTATTGTAAAGGATGCCATTGAGGACACACCCTAGCCATTTAAATTTCACGTATCTGGTACCTTCAGAGCCACAGTTACGTTATTGGTATTTTATT